TCTGACCTTCCTAGGTCAGAATTCTTTTTCCAAGATGTTGAGTTATCTGTTACCGATGTGTTAAATCTGTGGGTAGGCCCATTGTTTAGGACATGCCTTTAAGTTATTTTGAATGAGAACTGGTCAGAAAGGTCAAAAACACATTTGGAAAGAGACTCTGGAGATAAGGTTATAAATGAGAACTTTTGATTTATTGCGTCTCAGTGATATCTGACAACCCTTACTCTCCAGTGTTACAATTTTCTTCTAATAATTTAGCCTGTCTATTAAAAGACAATTACAAATAATGCATATAGGCAAGTGGTGAAAGATGACCAGAGCATTACTTGTAGAGAGGTTATCAAAACACAATTTGCACCCAAAAGTGAGTGTTGGCATTGATTTTTTAATCATTTCAAAAACAGAGTCGTACAGATTTTCTTAAGAATTGAACAGAACTTAAAGATTGAAATAGATTTCCCCTCTGCTACTTCATTTCTCATAATAATAGATTTTTTTACAGCAATGTAAAAGAGCATAAGTAGCAATTCCATGCCTGGTGAGTTGTGGCTAAAGGTTTAATGCATTATTGATTCATTTTAAGAGTTTTGAACCAATTATTATATTTTAGGATCCTTGACAAAATTTTGAAGAATTAGGGGTAATCTTTTATATTGGTTTTATGCTAAAGGTCATGTGACACTAAGAACTCTCTTTGTGATATTTATTGTATGGTGATAACATATAATCAAGAATGTCTTGTCTATGAGCAGTGCCGTCCAAGTCACGTACAGCCAACTGGGAAAAGTGGTAAGTCAGAACATTGTATGTGTGTCACCTGTTATGATGTTATATCATGCCCTTATTCTTCTCATCTTTTCCATTGGATTCAGATAGAAATGGTGCTAGGAACAGTAGGTACCCTACTTTGATTCATTTTTTAATGTTCTGCAAACAATTGCGTATGTGGATAAAATAGTGGACTTTATAGTTAAACAAAAGTATTAGGGTGAAAGTATCCACGGGGCAAATCCAGGTGCACACAGGATGATGGGGATGACACAGGCCTCATGCTATTCCCATATGACTTAACCATCCTCCGGTACATCTCTCTGCTTAGAAAGCTTTCTATTCCATTGATCTTGGAGATCAGGAGGATTTAAAATGGCAACCACTATTCAAAGTGTTATTCTTTTTTTTTTTAGCCAAAGACAAGGATTATTAGAACATCTATCATATTGGGCAGACTCTTTTTTCGAAATAATTAATTAATTAATTAATTTTTAGTTCTCCACATTCATTTCCACAAGATTTTGAGTTCCAAATTTTCTCCTCATCTCACCCTTCTACACAACCCAAGACAGCATGCATTCTGAATACCCCTTCCCCCAATCTGCCCTCCCTTCCATCACACCCCCCTTCTCTGATCCCCTTCCCCTTCTGTTTCCTATAGGGCAGGATAGATTTATATATATCATCGCCTATATATCTTATTTCCCAGTTGCATGTAAAAGCAATTTTTAACATTTCTTTTTAAAGCTTTGGGTTCCAAATTCTCTCCCTTCCTCCCTCCCCACCCACCCTCATTGAAAAGGCAGGCATCTCCATACAGGTTATAGATGTGTAATCATGCAAAATACTTCCATAGTAGTCATGTTGTGGAAAACTATGTTTCCCTTCATCCTATCCCACCCCCTCTGTTTATTCTACTCTCTCTTTTGACCCTGTCCCTCCTCAGAAATGTTTGTTTCTGATTACCCCCTTCCCCAATCTGCCCTCCCTTCTAACATCCCCCCCATCTCATTTCCCCCTATTTTCCTGCAGAGTAAGATAGCTTTCCATACACAACTGAGTGTGTATGTTATTCCCTCCTTAAGCCAAATCTAAAGAGAGTAAGATTCACTCATTCCTTCTCACCTTCCCCCTCTTCCCCTCCAATGTAAAAGCCTTTTCTTGTCTGTTTTATGTGAGATCATTTACCCCATTCTACCTCTATCTTTCTCCTTCTCCCAGTATAATCCTTTCTCACCCCTTAATTTTAGTCTTCAGATATCACCCTTTCATCTTCAACTCACCCTGTACCATCTATCTATCTATCTATCTATATACACATGTATTTTCCCTCTCCAACTACCCTAACACTGACAAAGGTCTCATGAGTTACAAATATCTTTCCATGTAGGAATGTAAACAGTTCAACTTTAATAAGTCCCTTCAGATTTCTCTTTCCTGTTTACCTCTTCATGCTTCTCTTGAGTCTTGTATTTCAAAGTTGAATTTTCTATTCAACTCTCATCTTTTCATCAAGAATGCTTGAAAGTCCTCTATTTCACTGAATGTCTATTTTTTCCCCCTGAAGCATTATACTCAGTTTCGCTAGGTAGGTGATTCTTGGTTGTAATCCTATCTCCTTTGCCCTCCAGAATATCATATTCCAAGCCCTCTGGTCCCTTAATATAGAAGCTGCTAAATCTTGTGTTATCCTGATTGTGCTTCCACAATACTTAAATTGTTTCTTTCTGGGTGCTTGCAGTATTTTTTCCTTGACCTGGGAACTCTGGAATTTGGCTATGATATTCTTAGGGATTTTCCTTTGGAGCTCTCTTTCAGGAGGTGATCAGTGGATTTTTTCCATTTCTATCTTACCCTCTGGATCTAGAATATCAGGGCAGTTTTCCTTGATAACTTCTTGAAAGATGATGTCTACAGTCTTTTTTTGATCATGGCTTTCAGGTAGTCCAATAATTTTTAAATTGTCTCTTCTGGATCTATTTTTCCAGGTCAGTTGTTTTTCCAATGAGATATTTCACATTGTCCTCTATTTTTTTTTTCATTCTTTTGGTTTTGTTTTACAATGTCCTGATTTCTCATAAAGTCATTAGATTCCATTTGCTCCATTCTAATTTTAAAGAAGTATTTTCTTCAGTGATCTTTTGGACTTCCTTTTCCATTTGGCCAATTCTGCTTTTGAAGGCACTTTTCTCCTCATTGGCTTTCTGGACCTCTTCTTGCCATTTGGGTTAAGCTATTTTTTGAGGTGTTATTTTCTTCAGTATTTTTTAGGTCTCCTTTAGCAAGCTGTTGACTTGTTTTTTCATGATTTTCTTTCATCACTCTCATTTCTCTTCCCAGTGTTTCGTCTACTGCTCTTACTTGCTTCTCATAATCATTTTTGAGCCCTTCCATGGCCTGGGACTGATTCATATTTTTCTTGGAGGCTTTGGATATAGGAGCTTTAACTTTGTTGTCTTCTGATTGTATGTTTTGATCTTCTTTGCCACCAAAGAAAGATTCTGTTGTCTGATTTTTATGTGCTGTTTGTTCATGTTCCTAGCCAATTACTTGACTTTTCAAGTCTTTGTTAAGGTAGGCCTCTGCTTCCCATGTGGAGAATGTATTGTCCCAAGCTTAGGGGGGTTTGGGCATCTGTTTTCAGACACACTTCTAGGGACCTAAAAACTTTCATTTCTTCCAAGGTGGTATGATCAAAGGTGAGGGGTTTACTCCTCTCCTCACCCGTGTTCTGGTCTATGAGTGACCACAAGTATTCTTTTCTGCCTTGGAACTGTGAGGAGGATTCTCTCTGCATCACCACCACAAGCTCCACCATACCAATGCTCCTCCTCACCCCAGGACCACCACCCAAATCTGTGACGCAGATCCAAGCATGGGCAAAGCAAGGGAATCTTGCCTCAGCACCAGCAAAGAGATTCCTGCAACCCCTCTCTGATCAGCCACTCAATCCCCCACTGTCTGTAGGCTGAGAGCTCCTGAAGCAGTTGCTGCTCTGGGACTGCACTGGTGACTGGGGCCAGCCCAAGCTCCTCTCTCCCCCAGGTCCAACAAACCTTTCCTACTGACCTTCTAAGTTTTCTTTGGCATTTGTGGGTTGAGAAGTCTGGACACTGACACAGCTGCCCATGATTCAAGTCTCCTGAGGCCTGCTCTAGGTTTGCTGAGGTCCTGTCTTTGTTTGTGCTCCCAGCTGGGTGTAACAGACCTTTCCAATCAACCATCCAGGTTGTCTTGGGCTGGAAATTTGCTTCATTCTGTCTTTTTGTGGGTTCTGCTGCTCTAGAATTTGTTTTGAGCCTTTTTTTACAGGTCTTTGGAAGGGTTTTTGGAAAGCTCAAGGAAGCCACTGCTCTTACTCCACCATCTTGGCTCCACTCTCCCAAAGCATTCTTCTTAAGGATTTATGAGTCACTGTTGTTCCCCCTGGTTGTGGGAAACAATTCAGCTGCTGATAACAGTCTGGTTTCAGTGTAGTATATTGGTTGAATTCTCTAGGATAGTTTGAGATCTGTATTTATTCCATGGAGATTTGTTGTCTGTTGATCCACAAAAGATAGTGAGATTCTGATAGGTAATTCTAGCCACAAGGTCATGTCCTTCTAGTTAAGTGCTAAGTTTTTATAGCCTGCTGTGACATATTGTTTGGTTTCCGCTAATAGTGTATGTTGAGAACCTGGTAGGATTCTTTAAGGATGACCCTCCTGACATTTTGGTAGCAAAGACCTTACCCTGAATCACTATCACAAATCTTTTCATTTCTACAAAGAAATGGACATGACTTGATCATTTGTGTGATTCTTTGTTGTTGACAAACTGCTGGCTGGGTTCATGCAGTGTCTCCCATGGAGGTTGTCCAGAATTGGCTCTTACATCTTAGTGATTGCATAGGCTCTTTCTCTAGGTTTAGCTACTTTCATCTACATTCAATGTATCCAATGATGTGTGTTTGATATCAGCTTTAACTATGGCTAGTAAAGTGATATCTACTTGTTCTAAATATATTCCTCTAAGTTTTTGGCATTCTAAAAGTGTCTTCAAATCTGTTTCCTCCTTTTTGGTGTGGAAATATTAACCCTCTCTAACTACTTTTGGGAGCTGGGCCCTAAGTTTTACTAATTATTGTAGAGGGTTTATTTTTTTGTTGGAATACTTTTCCAATCTCTTAGGGTCCACTTTACCAGGTCAAAAGTACAAGTTAAGACAGATGTCACATGGATGTTAATTGGTTTGAGTATATTTATTCAGCTTTGATTTCATAATGCCTCTAAGTCTCCTAATATATTCAGCCATAGACTTTGCTTTTGCTATCTTTATGCTTGCTGTGTCTGCTGTACAGGACACCAAAGTATTGATAGGTATGGCTGTTATCCATTGATGCAGTATGACCTCCAGATTCCAGTTTTCTTGCTTTCATATGCACACATTAAGAATTTTACACTTATGGAGTCCAAATGACATTTTGATATCTTTGCAGAAAGATACAATGAGATGAAGGAGCAATTTAATGTGTTGTGCAATGGAGTCGTTGGCTGACTCATAAGATGTTTTGATTTAACTCCTTCTTTAACTTGAAAGCTGTTCTTGGTTCTATCTAGAAGAGATGAGAAATTATTTATGGCTAGTCAGAACCATAATGGGCTTAAAGTATCTTGTTTCCTATCAAAAATATCACATTTCATATCAAATGTACTTAAAATTATTGTATTACAGATATGTTCCTACTATATTTGTGTCTATTTTATAAATTTTACAGTATATGAATATACCATTAGTAGGTTAATCGAAAGCTTTTTTTAAAAATTCACGTGGGCAGCATAAAAGTTGTGGTGTGTTATAGCAGCATGTCAATAATTTCAGAATTAGTAATGCTATGTCCTATTTATCTCCTTCCTTCTCCCCTCCCTAGGACTTAACCCTCAAACCTCCATTGTCCTCTCACCCTGGAGGTCCGTATTCCTTGGAACATCCCTCTGCCTCTCTGGCCCCATTCCCTTGCCAATGACTTCCTCCCAGGTCCACCATTTTGGCATGGGCTCAGGCTGGTCATCCACACTTCATTTCCTCCCTCCTTGGCTTTTGACTCTCAGGACTTTGTCACCATGACACCATGCCCCAATACAGCCTTCTCCTCTCACTTTTAGTCCTCTTGCCTCCATTAAAATCTAAGCTTTCTGAGGGCAGGGACTGACTTCTTGCTGTATTGTAGTTGCTTATATTGTCTGTCCAGGTGCCAGGCACCAAGCATGAGGTTTAGCATGTAGTGAGCATGTCATCAATGTTTCTTGTTGTTGTTCCCTGTGACTTTTTTATATTTTCTTTTCCTTAACCAACATATTCTTTTCCTGTAAGTGTTTGCAGATTTTTTTTTGAGATAGAAGCTGTAATTACTCTGTATAAAGTACATAAACACACAATTGGCCGATAATTGAAGGATTCTCTGGTGTTCTAATCCTTTGGAGGAGTATGTGTATATATGTAAATATGTGTATATATACACATGCAAACATATACACATATGTGTGTACATATGCAACACGTGTGTTTGTATGGAACATCTTCTGTTAAGAGTGGGGCAATTAGTTCAGCACCTGATCTGGTAAAGAGCCTGGCCACTATTTCATGCATCTGGGTAAAACATCTGAGCTAATAATTATGATCTGCCTGGCTTCTGATGCTTTTCAGTTCACAAACAAGGGAGGGTCTTAGTCACTAACTTTCTGCATTGTTCCTTTTATTGATGGTGGCCAAGCTCCCATTTCTCAATTGGTGCAATGTAAGTTTTTATTATGTTGGACATCCCTGACCATAGAGACAATCAGCAATTTTCTGCCTCATTCTTCTCTGAGGTGCTCTGTCTCACCCTTGATTTCATCACCTCTCAAGCCTCTGCAATGTTGACAATTTTGAGTTATGCAGAATTGTTTGTTCTACTTTGACTCTATTTAGCTCCTCAAACTTTTGACTTTTGCTTTCAAGTTACTAATTCAGGGTATCGAGAATTTTGGATAGAATTTTGACTTTTCTTTTTCAGAGTCTTTTCAACAGGTTTCTTTTTGGTTGCTTCTAAGTGGGCAAAACAGTTTTCAAGTTTTCTATTAAATATACTAGCTAGAGCTAGATGCAATCTTCTTTCTTCTCTTTTTTCAATTTTATTCCGATTTTTTGTCCAAATCCTTTCCTTTCCTCCAGCCCCTCCCTCACCTATTGAGAAGGCAAGAAATAAAATATCTACTGTAATATGAAGATATGCAAAATATATATCCACATTAGCCATGCCTCCACCCTCGCTCACCCAAAGCAAGAAAAATAAAGGGAAAAATGTGCTTCAATCTGTATTTTGAGTCCATCAGTTCTCTGTCTGGAGGTGAATAACATTTTACTTCAGTATTCCTTTGGAATTGTGGTGGATCATTTTGTTGATCAGAGTTACTAATTACTTAACAGCTAATTATTGGTACAATATTGCTATTACTGTATAAATTGTTCTCCTTGTTCTGCTCACTTCACTTTGCATCAAATCATATAACACTTCCTAAGTTCTTCTGAGACCATCCCTTTCAGCATTTCTTACAGCACAATGGTATTCCATTACATTCATATACCATAACTTATTCAGCCAATACCCAATTGATGGGCAGCCCCTTGGCTTCAGTCTTTGCCACCATGGAAAGAACCACTATAAATATTTTGTACGTATGGCTCCTGTTCCTTTTTTATGATTTTCTTGGGGTGTAGACTTAATAGTATTGTTGAGTCAAAGAGTATGCACAGGTTTATAGTTGTTCTGCAGGATGGTTGGACTACTTCACAGCTCCACAAATTGTGGATTACTGTACCTATTTCCTGACTTCTCCTCCAGTATTTTTTGTTTTCCTTTTCTGTCATCTTAGACGATCTGATAGGTGTGAGGTTAATACCACAGAGGAGTTTTAATTCTCATTTCACTAATAATTAGTAATTTAGAGCATTTTTATTGAGAGCATCAATTTCTTCCTATGAAAACTGCTTCTTCATATCCTTTGATGACTTATGAATTGGGGAATGGCTTCTATTTTTATAAACTTGGATCAGTTTTTGTGTATTTAAAAAATGAAACTTTTATTAGAAGAACTTGCAAAAAAATTCTACCCCATTTCCTGTTTTTCTTCTCACTTTGACTGCATTAGTTTTGTTTGAGCAAAAACTTCTTTAAATTAATGTAATCAAAATTGTCCATTTTATCTCCCATGAACCTCTCTATCTTTTGTTTGGTCATGAATTCTGACCCATTCATAGATAGGACAGGTAATTTTTTCCCATGCCCCCCTAATTTCATTATTATATCACCTTTGTTGTCAAAATCATGTACCTATTTTGAGCTTCTCTTATAGTGTGAGATGTTGATCTGTGGCTAGCTTCTGCCAGACTATTTTCCAGTTTTCCCAGCAGTTTCTGACAAACAATAAATTATTGCCCCAACAGCTAGGATCTTGGGGTTTGTCAAGCACTAGAAAACTGTGATCATTTGCTTCTGTATATCATGTACCCAATCTATTTCTTGATCAACCATTCTATTTTTTTTATTCCAGTACCAAATTGTTTTGATGATTACTGGGTTCTAATACATTCTGCTATGCTCTTTCATTTTATTAATGAATTCATCCCATTCACATTCACAGTTATGATTGCTAATTGTGTATTTCCTTCTTTCCTATTGTCTTCTATTTATCCTTCTGTTTGTTTGCTTTTTTTTTTACTTTGTCCCCTCATCAAAAGTCTTGTCTGCAAGATGCTTAAATGCTCAGGTTCTCAACTAGCCTTTTGTTTTTATACAAGCTTTGCAAGGTCTGACCGAGTCTCTCCAACAAAATCCCTATAGACATCCTGTGGCACCATGTCAAAATTGCTTTGATTGACTGATTCAGTGGAGCTTTGTCTCAGCACTATTCACACCCAGTTCATACCTCTGATTTATTGATTCATGAGAACCCAGAATGCTCTGTAATTTTTGAGGTGGGGTGGAGAACATCCTTCTTTCATTTTCATTGCTGTGCACTTGCTGGTAGTATGCTATTGTGTGAGGTGGAGCTGAAGTTCAAATTGACAAAAAGCAACACGCATCCTTTATCTATAACCAGTAAAATATGTTTTCAATTTTGTTTTGATATAATGTTGACATGTAACTAAAGCATTCCTGTTATTGGTCCATTCATGCAGATTTATGATTTATCCTCTTTAGTAGCCAGCACCATCTTCATTGTAGCATTTTCTGAAGGTAGAGCATTGCCATTTCTGGTTTGGTTTGATGTATCTTGCCTTCTTGTGATTTTGGAACACAAAGGAGCACCATTTCCTTTTTCATTCTTTCTATCAACCTGATTATCATGACAGGCTCAGGTAAGGCTAACCTATAGACCTTTGTTGTCCCATCTATTTCTTAGAGGCATAAGAGCTGGTTCATTACAGTGCCTAGAGTACTAACCAGACAGTGATATTCCCAGAGCCACTTTGGTCAGCACTCCAGGGTTCCTGCCAGATCTTCATAGCTAGCATATACATCTCATGGCACATAAGGTCCTGGTGCTACATCATCAGGTCTGACATTCTCTTATTCTGACGTTCTAAGAATCTTCTTCCCCATTACAGAAAGAATACATTTAGTGTGAGGAAAGGATGAAAATGAGGATGATGATGATGACGACAACAATGATGATGATGATGATGGTATGATGATGATGATGATGACGATGATGATACCCCCCTTAACTGGTCATTATACAGATTTAACAAAGTTATACATGTATTTATTACATGCCCACTATGATATGGTGTAAGACACTATGAGTGATATAAAAACTATTTTTAAAAAATAATCCTAGTTCTCATGGACCTTCAAATCCATTTGAAGAGCTAAAGTTAACATAGAAAATATAATAACTCAGTCCTAAACTGTGTGGGTCAATGGAAGATCATGACAGTGAGAAATTTGTCTGGGCGACATCTTCCTCAGAAGAGCTGGATTTGAATGAAACTTTGGAATATGCATACACTTTACAGAAAGAAGAATGGCATGGCAAAATCCAAGGTGGGAAGGATCATGGGAGGTGGGAGGAGGATGGAGGTTGTGAAGAAAGATTGATGAGACTATCTTTAATGGAGCAGAGCACATATATCGGGAAGAAATCATAGGAGATGAAGATGGATACATCTTTGTCATTGTTAATTGTTGTTACTGAGGTTAATTATTCAAACTAATTGTTTTGTTAAAATTCATTATCATTTTAAGCAAATTTGTAAAACTTTTAACAATTCAAAAGTTGAATGGACTTCGAGGGAAGTTTTTAAGCAGAGGTTACAAAGCCACTTGTTTGGAAGCGCTGTGTCTAATTCTCTTTGGGTAACAGATAGATGGCCCTAGCTGTGAGGCTAGTACCCACAGAATGTTCAAAGAACCAGAGGAAGGCTACCAGCATAGTGGGTGGTAGCCTGGAGAAGATTTATTGAAAGACATGGACGAGAATTACAAGAATCAAGAATGCCTGGAAGGTGTGGTCCGTGTGAGCTGAGGAAGCGTCTGCATTGAATCCCTCCCTACCAGAAAGAGTGGGAATCATTTCATTCATTTGTTCAGTTCAATAGACATTCAGCAACGTCAGTCACTGGGCTTGATGGGGAAGATGCAAAGAGAAAAAAAGCATCACGTCCCCAGATAAATGGCACACTGTGTCACAAGAAAGGGAGCGAGGAAGGAGCTTGAAGGACATTGGAGGAGGAAGAGGAAATAATAGGGAAGGGGGGATAAAGTCAGCAAGCATTTCCTCAGTACCTACTAGATGCCAGTCACTGTGTTAAGAAAGGAAAAGACAATCTCTGTCCTCTGGAAGCTCTCAGCCATATAAGGAGACAGCATGCCAACAAGAAGGTATGTATGGGGTAGAAGAAGGGTAATCTCAAAAAACAGTCACTAACCTCAAAGGGGATGGGGAAAGCCTTTGAGCAAAAGTTGGGATTTTAGCTAAGTTTTACAGGAAGCCAAAGAGCAGACGGGTGAGGAAAGCATGCCAGGCATGGGATAGTAAAGTCTTTTTTAGCAGGAGAAAGATCTGTCTGCACAGAAATATTTATAACAACTTTCTGTTGGGGCCATAGCAAAGAACTGGAAACAAGCAGGCACCCATCAATCAGAGAGTGGCTGAGCAGATGATGGCATGTGAAAGTAAGAAAACAGTATTGCCCCTTAAGCAATGGCAGGTTCCTCCAGAGGAAACTGAGGAGACTTGGACGAACCTATGCAGAAGGAAATGAGCAGAACCAGGAGGCCCATTTTTAGAGCAGGAGCAGCAATGGGAAGGAAGACCACTTAGAATGACCTGGGAACTGTGCTGAGTGCAGGGACCTGGCAGGCTCCCCGGGACTGATGATGACCCAGGCTACCCACCCACTGACTCAGGTCCAGGGACCAAAGGGCAGAATCAGCCTGATGTTTCTATGTACAGAAAAGGTGGGGGTTTGTTTTGCTCAATTGTATTTATTTGTTAAAAAGAATTGTGTGTGTGTGTGTGTGTGTGTGTGTGTGTGTGTGTGTGAGTGCACACATGCATATGTGTGTGTCAATTTGGGAGGACTTGAGTAGGAAAGAGGAGCTAGTATTTCTAGGAAAAAATAACAAAAAAAAATTAAAGAAGTTCAGTAAAGCATTTTTAATGGATAGAGAACAGAGGGAAATTCAGAGCAAAATGCAGACAAGCAGAGCATAGAAAGTAAGATTTAAAATTTGTCATAAACTGTTTTTGGGATGGACTATTGAAGCTTCTCCATAACCATGTGAGCATATGTCCATACACACAGATATACATAGGCACGTGTGTGTGTGAATATGTGTATCTATAAGCACACACCATGTACATAAATAAGGATATACATACATAATCTATATGCTGTCCATATGCATACATATGCAGGTGTGTATGCACATATATGCATGTCTACATATACACATATACATATGCACATATGTGTGTGTATGTATATCACAGATATACATACAGAAATATATGTGGTAGGTGGTACAAATGTCCAAATTAGGCATGTAATGAAATAATGGAAGAGAAGACTACCTTTAGGAAATTGCCAGTCTCCTCAAATGATCTCAAATATCTCCCAGAAACAAAGATACTTTTTCTCTGGCAATATTCCACTGTTGTTGTTGTTGTGAGGTAAGACAAGGAACACTAGAGCCTTTGGAAAATGAGAGGTAAATATCACACAGAGAGCAATGGAGAGGTGCATTGTGGGTGTGACCAGGCTGCTACATCTTACAGATAAGGAATTTCAAAGAACAGGAATGTAGGATGACATCAGGGAAACATGATAGAAGAAATAAAAAGATAGGGTTCTCGTGGTGAGGAAGAGGGATTTGAAGTGGACAGATACATTGATAATCTTGACATATCAGGAGAAAATGAGCCAGTCCTTCAAGGTCACGGGTATATCCCTTATGAAGTACCTATGAGGAATATATAGTTGCTCACTGTGTAATTCTAGGAAAGTCACTTAACTTCTGACTGCCTTAATTTCCTCATCTGTAAAATGGGGATAATAATGCCACTTAGCTGGTAGAGTCATTGAAAGGACAAAATGGGATATTTTTAAAGCACTTTGCAAACCTTAAAGCCCTATGTAAATTATTAGTAATAACTATTATTTTATATTAATTATAATTAAGAATTAGTGATAATAAGAGTGATTATAATAATAATAGTACTTATTATTGTTATTATTATTAGCAATAGAATCTCCCAGGATGGGTAAGCCAGAATGGTGCCTGATCTGCTTTGTTATAGGGAGTTTCCCAGAGAGATCACAGATCATTAGAGTATTAGAATATATGGTGGGAGCTGTGGGTCTAATCCAGTTTTGAACAAGTCAAAACCCAGTTTTCCCAAGCATATTTGTTAAACAATAAATCCTTTTCTGGATTTTTTTTATTAACAAATTTCAATTTTTACTTCCAATGTTTTTTTGTTTTGGTTTGGTTTTGGTTTTGGTTTTTTGTTTGTTTGTTGTACTTTCAATCTTATCGATCCCACCTTTGATTTTCAGGATTTCCAATGTGGTGCTTCTTCATCGGTGGTGAATTCACTCTTTTCATTTTTGACACTAGATATTTGGTTTTCTGCTTTCTTTTTTTAAAATTAAATTGACTAATGGCTTATCTATTTTATTGGTTTTTCCATGAAACCAACTCCTAGTTTTATTTATTAGCTCAATAGCCTTGTTTTAACTTTCAATCTTATTAATCTCACCTCTGATTTTCAAGATAAAAATTTCAATTCTTTAAAAAGAATTTTTGTCCAATGCTGATCTTTTGCATTCCTTCAGTTGGTATCTCTGGTGCATCTAGTTTATTCCATTGGTAAATCTGTATAGTTTATTGTGTTGTTCTGTCTACCCAGCAGGTTTAATGATAACCACTTTGTCATCTTTTTAAAGCCTGAGTCTGCCAGAATCCTGTCCTTAGCTTTTTTTTTTCAGGATGCTTCTTGGTATCATATTTGCCCATTTAGTTTTCAAGTAAATGTTATTGTAATTTTATCCATTTGCTGAAGAAATTCCTGGTAAATCTTGCATCTCAGCACTGCCCACCTTGACTTTTCCCAAAGGGATAAACTTGGGCACTCTTCTACCCAGCCAAGGAGATGTGAAGTGATGGTATTTCATGGAGGAACATGGCAAAAAAAAAAAAGAGCCAAGTCAAGTCATCAGGGCGAAAGAAAAAGAGGGGATTGTGGAGCATTTGGAGACATTCAGAGTTACTTCTGTCACAGGTGCTCCGTACAATTTATGAACTTCCTTTTACATGACTTCTAGTTCTAGGGTTTTACTTGACAAAGAGCATTATTTTCAGGAACCCTAGGAGTGTGCCAGCCCCAGGCTCCTCCAGGTACTTCTAAGGACTCAAGCACATTGTATGAAATAGCCCACATAGCCCGTTGCCCCAGGCAACAACAATAGCTGGTCAATAAATGAATGATATGCCTACCTCTGTAACTCACAAAGAAGTGATGCCTTCACTGTGGAATTACCAGTACCAACCGCAGAGTTGGGCTTTCTTTGTCTGGAAAATGCAGGAATGATTAAAATTCACCAGATTACAATGCAAATCGCATTCAATCTTAACTTCATTTCTCTTTTCTGATGTAAATATTTCAGTTCTAAATCACTTTAAAGGAAAATTCGTGAATTGAGGAAATTCTAGAACAGAATGATTTGTTCTTTCCAGAAAGACTATTTTTATTTCTGTGAGGCATGTCTGATTATTTTGCTAAATGTAATGCATAGGACACCCATTTCTCTCTGAGACACTCTAGAAAAAAAAAGCAAAAATCAATTCATAACTGACTTTAATGCCTCAAGGTTTGAGAATTCCATTCATTGCTATAAGTATTCTCTGCACCCCGCCATAATTTAAGAGTCTTTGATGGCAACTGGATGAAACTAGACGATTCCCCATGAGACCAGCATGAGGAAGAGTCTCTCCACACCTAGAAAATTGGGAACTTAGAGAACAGATTGGTCACCATCACCAGGCTGGTCCTTGACAGGGTCCCAACTTGGTAAGAATGGCTAGATCTTGAGCCCTACTGCCTAGCCTTCCAGAACCCAGGGTCATCTGCTGACCCCTGGGAGACACAAGAAGAACTCTTTAATTCATAACTGTTACCAAAAAATGCCAAGGTTTCTAATCGATCCACTGAGCCAGATTGTGATAGGATCTGGAACTGCAATTACTATTTTTGTAGAGAACTCCCTTATGAGGAAATTCTCTTCACCAAAGCAGGTTGGTACCCAGGATCTCACAGCTCATATGTGTCAATGAGGACTTGAACCCAGCTCTTCTGACTCTGAGGCTTTCTATCTGCCATGTCAAAATGCCTTTGCTTATTTTTTTCCCCTTCATAATTAATTAATTTATTTTTAGTTTTTAACATTCACTTCCATAAGATTTTGAGTTGTAAATTTTCTCCCCTTCCCACTCCTTTTCCCCAACCCAAGATGCCATGCAATCTAATATAGTCTCTACTTATACATTCATATTAAGCATATTTTCCATTAGTCATGATGTAAAGAACAATTATAACTAGTGGGAGGAACCATGAGAATGAAGAAATAAAACAAAACAACAAAGGAAAAAGAGAGTAAATACTCTGCTTCCATCTGCATTCAGACTCCATAGTTCTTTCTCTGGATGTGGATAGCAATTTCCATCATGACATTTTTGGAGATGTCTTAGATCCTTGAATTGCTAAGAAGAACCAAGTCTATCAAAGTCAGTCATCACACAGTGTGGCTGTTACTGTGTACAGTGCTCTCCTGTTTCTGCTCATTTCATTCTGCATCAGATCAGAGTTTCCAGGGTCTTTTTGAAGTCTGCCTACTCCCCATTTCTTACAGCATAATAGTATTCCATTACATTCATGTACCACAATGTGTTCAGTCATTCTCCAGTTGATGGGCATCCCCTCAATTTCCAATTCTTTGTCACCACAAAAAGAGCTGCTGTAAATATTTTTGTAGACATGGGTCCTTTTCCCATTTTTATGGGATATGGACCTTTGAGATACAGACCTAGAAGTGGTATAATTGGGTCAAAGGGTACGCACAATTTTATAGCCCTTTGGGCATAGTTCCAAATTGCTCTCCAAAGTGGTTGGATAGGGACAGCTAAGTGGCACAATGGATAGAGCAACAGCCCTGAAATCAGGAGGATGTGAGTTCAAATCTGGCCTCAACCCAAACACTTGACACTTACTAGCTGTGTGATCCTGGACAAGTGACTTAACCCCAATTGCCTTAAAAAAAAAAAAAAAGGTTGGCTCATTTCACAACTCCACCAACAATGCATTAGTGTTCCAGTTTTCCCGCATCTTCTCCAACATTTATCATTGTCCTGTTTTGTCAAGTTGGCCAGTCTGACAGGTGGGATGTGGTACCTCAGAGTTGATTTGCATTTCTCTAATCCATAGTGATTTAGAGCATTTTTTCATATGACGACAGAGAGCTTTAGTTTCTTCCTCTGAAAATGCCTGTTCACATCCTTTGACCATTTATTAATTGTGAAATGACTGGTGTTCTTATAAATTTGGCTCAATTCTCTAATATTTTAGGAATGAGGCCTTTATCAGATACACTGGTTGTAAAAATTCTTTCCCAGTTTTCTGCTTCCCCCCTAATCTTAGCTTTGTTTGTGCAAAAAATCTTTTCAATTTAGTGTAATCAAAATCATCCATTTTGCATTTCATAATGTTTTCTATCTCTTCTTTGGTCATAAATTCTTCCCTTCTCCATAGATCTGAAAGGTAAACTCTTCCTTGCTCTTCTACTTTGCTTATAGTGTCAATCTTTATATCTAAACCCTGTACCCATTTTGACTTTATCTTGGTATAGGGTATAAGATGTTAGTCTATGCCCAATTTCTGCTATACATTTTTCCAGTTTTCCCAGCAGTTTTTGTTAAATAGTGATTTTTTTTATCCCAGAAACTGAAGTCTTTGGATTTATTGAACAGTAGATTACCATAGTCATTGACTGTTGGGTCTTGCATACTTCACCTATTCCACTGATCCACCACCCTATTTCTTAGCCAGTACCAAGCAGTTTTGATGATTGCTGCTTTATAATACAATTTAAGATCTGGTACAGCTATGTCACCTTCCCCTGCATTTCTTTGCATTAGTTCCCTTGACATTCTGGACTTTTTGTTTTTCCAGATGAATTTTGTGATTGCTTTTTTCTATCTCTATAAAATAATTTTTGGTAGTTTGATTGGTATGGCTCTGAATATGCAAATTAACTTAGGTAGAACTGTTATTTTTTTATTATATTAGCTCGGCCTACCTGTGAGCAACTGATGTTTTTCCAGTTATTTAAATCTAACTTTATATGTGTGAAAAGTGTTTTGGTTTTGTATCCATATAATTCCTGAACCACCTTTGCTTCTAAGAGAATGACTTTGAGTTCATTCACAGCTCCTGCCTCTTCCTTCTTCCTTGAGGCTCTTTCTTAAACCACAGATCTGAGCATGGTACCAGTCCCTCAACTCCCTCATCCCCTCATTCCCTTCCTTCCTCTCTTCTTTCCTTCTTCCTTCCCTTCTTTCCTTCCTCCCTCTCTTCCTTCCTTCTTTCCTCCCTTTCTTTCTTCCTTCTTCTGTCCTTTCCCTCTCTCCCTCCATCCCTCACTCCCTTCCTTCCTTCCTTTTTTCCTTCTTTTCTTATTTCCTTCCTTCCTCCCTTCCTTACCTTTTTACCTCCTTCCCTTCTTCCTTCCTTCCTTCCAGCTCCTACACAAGGTCTTTCCTCTTCTGATCTCTCCCACCTCCCTGTTATTATCACTCTCTCCCTCCAAAAATAACTTCTTATATAATTTTTATTTACTTATCTGTATATACATTGCGTTCATTGTGTCCAGAAGGGTGTTTTGTTAGGGTGGGGATAGAAGTGTCTGCCCCAATTAATGTAAAACACAGAAGGCCCAGACCTTTCCAGTGAATCAACCCATTCATCAAAGGTGTAACCTAGCAGGGAAGGGCTTTGGTCACTAGGTAAAGGTAAAAGATTTCTCACCAGAAATGCCTTGTGATTGGCTGAAAACAACAGACACACCTCTGGGCTTATTTATGACATAGTCCGCTGACACAGCATCTCACATTCCAAGAGCACTGAACTGAGTGATGGTCAAAAGAATTGCCCTTGGGGAGAGATGCAGTTGTTTCCTGCCAACCCCATGGACCAAGTGATGACTGGGTGAACTGGGAAATGTTGGAAGACCTGGAGTTTCCATCACACTATTCACAGTAGTGACCCCCAGCAGCATCTACATAAGAGACACAAGGAGGAAAGCCAGCTTCCCTACTCTGCAAGGGCACCAACCTTCCCTTGAAAGTCCAGCAGAGAACTACACCTAGGGAAGCTTCACAAGAACTCTACCAAGGAAGGAGGGACTTCCAATCCTCATGAGCTGTGAATTTATCCTTTGGTCCCATGCAGCCTCCAAGTTTGAATCCATTCTCCTAAGGGACTATGGATGTCCAAGGGGATACTGCACTCCCTGTAACAACTGTCCTTTACTTACCTACTTACAAAATATCCGTTCTAAGATCTAATTACCTCTGGCTAATAATTAGTACAGAGAACACTGGATGGGGGCAATAGTACTAGGCCATGTCACTTCCAGGGTGAAATATAAAATTCTTCTTTTTGGCATTAAAAGCCCTTCACAACTTGTGCTGGCCCCACTTTCTAGTCTTCTTACATCTTACACCACCACACACTGGCCCCCAAAAGGCAATCCATTGATACTGGTCTCCCTGCTATTCCTTGAACAAGAAACTCCATCTCTTGGCTCCCAGCATTCTCTCTGGCTGTCCCCCATGCTTTGAACTCTCTCTCTCCTCCACTCTGACTGCTGCCCTCCCTGGCTTACTTTAAGTTAGGAATCCCCTCTTCTACAGGAGGCCTTTCCCAACCCCCTTAATTCTAGTGCCTTCCTTCTGTGAATTATTTCCTATTTATCCTGTACATAGCTTCTGTATACACAATTATTTCCATGTTGTCTCTCTCATTTGATTGTGAGCTCCTCAAAGGTGCTGTCTTTTGCCTTTCTTTGTAACTCCACAGCTTAGCACAATGCCTTGCATATAGTAGGTGCTTAATAAATGCTTGTTGACTGACTCTAACTCCTCCAGATTACCACTAGAATTCTGAGGGTAACAATCAGTTTGGACACTTGTCCCACCAATGGAAGTAGACTTGGGGAGGTATGTGCATTAGGGAGGAGTCATAAGCTGCTTCAGGGAAGGGACTTTCTTTCTTTCTTTCTTTTTTCTTTCTTTCTTTCTTTCTTTCTTTCTGTCTGTCTGTCTGTCTGTCTTTCTTTCTTTCTTTCTTTCCTTCCTTCCTTCCTTCCTTCCTTCCTTCTTTCCTTTCTTTCTTTGTATTTCTAGTACCTGCATAATGCCTGATACAAAATAGGTTCTCAACTGTTGAATTGAATTTGTATGAAATGAATTGAACTGAATTTCTTAGGCACCTGACACAATTATGGGAGGGGGTGTGTGTATAGGTACACACATGCACATGCACATATATGCACACACATGTATGAGCTCACCTCAATACATGTACACACACATATGTACATGTACTCACATGCATACACATACGTGCGCTGTGTACACGCATGTGTATGTGTAGGTGCACATTAAAAGAAAATATCATGATGAGGCAAATGGCCACAAGCCAGACCAAGTGCATCTATCCTGCGTGATTCTCGCCGTGTCACTCTTGTTCAAACTGTGATGCCCCTCTATTGCCTCTAGGATCAAATGTAAGTTCTGTTTAGCTTTCCAAGCTTGGCTCCCACCTCCCTTTCCAGCTGTGTTTTGCCTGACCCCCTCCCCTTCCCCCCTCCTGGGTGGGCCGTGCCTCATTCCCAGAATACACTCCTACCTTGCCTCCACCTCTTAGACCCTTTATTTCCCTCAAGGCTCCCCTCAAGCACCTCCTTCTATACAAAAACCTTCCTGATTCAGTTTTTAGTCCAGAGCCTGGCACACAGTAACTACTTAATGGATGCTAGTCAACTGAATTAGTGACTGATCCTCAAGCTGCTAATGCCCTTGCCCTCCCCAAATATATCTTGTGTTTATTTTGTCTCTATTTTGAATATAGTTATTTGTGTATATTTTACATCCTCTGAGAGAATATAATACACATGAGGTCAAGGACTGTTGTCTTTGTGTGAACAGTACCAAGCCCAGGGTCTGGCACATAGTTTATTAATCACTTGATTGATACAGTCATTTCAGTCAAATTACTGTAATGATGAATCTGTGAGACAATGTGAGATTTAGAACACCCAGATGCAGCTGTCTATCTCCTTTATCCAAAGAAAGTCTGACTAATTTAGACCAAAGTAAGCTCGGCTTTAAAACCCACCAACTTTTCTGCCAATAGGGATTCTAGATTCTTCAGTGATACATAATAAAATGCTGAGGAAGATTTAATAGGGAAATAACATTCTCTTTAGAAAAGCCAAAAATGAAATCAGAATGATTACATAAGCAACAGCAAAAGATCACCTCGTGATGGATAAAGATGACATTTCCAAGGTCTGGTACTGCCGTGCAGGGCAGTTTGCAGGAAATTAATCAGATATTGGAGAAGTAGCATTTTTCACAGTTACAGAATCATAATTCAGCTGTCTTTACTTGACAAGGTCAATACTTACCACAGCATACATATACTTGAAGAACTGTAGCTGAGACAGTCCCATCACATTGAGATCAGTTTCTGCATCATTTATGATGATAGGAAGGAAGGAAGGAAGGAAGGAAGGAAGGAAGGAAGGAAGGAAGGAAGGAAGGAAGGAAGGAAGGAAGGAAGGAAGGAAGGAAGGAAGGAAGGAAGGAAGGAGGGAGGGAGGGAGGGAGGGAAGGAAGGAGGGAGGGAAGGAAGGAAAAAGGGAAAGAGGGAAAGGAGAGAGGGAGGGAGGCAGAGGAGAGAGGGAGAGAGGGAGAGAAGGAGAGAAGGAGAGAAGAAAAGAGGGAGTAAAGGAGAGAGGAAGGAGGGTGGGAGGGAGGAAGAAATGGAAGAAGGGAGGGAGGGAGGGAGGGAGGGAGGGAGGAAGCTTTCTGCTTTACCACAAAGATAAAAGAAAAATGGAGGAAACTAAGTTTGATTTATAATTCATTTAAGCACTCAGCAGGCTGGTTTTCATCCACTTTCCCAAGCTGAGAACATGGCAGACAAAATCAGCTGTTTGCTTCAGCAGACACCCTTCTCCCCCATGCTGTGGCAGGAGCCATCCTGAATCAGGATCACATGATATGAGCCCTTCCATTGCATTGCAGCAACTCTTATAGTATGTGACATCTGTTGTTCATTAAAAAAACAAATCATACCTAGATCTTGAACTTTATCATTTGCCATTGTCTCCAAACATGTTTTCCCCCCAGAAATTAATGTAATGCAGCAAGAGACAAAAAATTGAGTGGGTTTTGAGTCTCCAGATAACTGTGCAATGTACATACCACCTTTTAAAGGAATCTGAACACTGAAATATATGGATTCATTGAGTAGTCATGAGATTTGAGTGAGAAAAATAAATCCCAACCATAATGAGAAAGTGACATGAGGTTTGGGATTGCCCACCCCCATAATGCTCTGCTTTGTGCCACCTCTGTAACCTTGGAAAGATTACTCCAAAGATGTACCTTGATCTCTTATGTGCTGAATTTAGGGTCGAACTCATGGGTCTCTATGATTGCTTCCACTGCTAGAGCTTTTTCAGTTACCACAGGACTCTCTCCGGGGGTCATTTCCTATACTGTGATGGACAAATTCCCAACCTCTGCTCCTCCCCACCCCAATCCACTTGAGATGCACTAATCTTTTCATGTTCTCCAATGTTCTTGGGTTTTACTGTGCCCTCTGAAGTCAATCAATGCACCAATTAATTGGCATTATTAAGAAACTAGGCACCATGGGTATGAAGACAAGAAAAAAAGAAACAGTACTTTTCCTCAAAGAGCTTGCATCATATTAGGAGAAACCACATGTACCATACAAATAGCTACAACAGTGACTCAGTTTAAGACCCTAATCGATCCTGGGCCAGTTGTGATCCATCTTCAAGGCATGTCCAGGTGCATATGCAGAGATGAAGTGTCTCAGTCAGCTGCCCGGACAAGTCCATGACAAAGCCTGAGTGACAGGGATTTTTGATCTGCTTGGTTCTTCCTATGTGGGTTGCCAAGACTTCTTTCTGACTGACTAGATACTTGGTATTAGACCAAAAACTCATCAAGGTGGACCTGTAGCATTTCAGGGCATATTTTAATGAACAAAATGTTATTTGCAAATGGAACATATGACATATTATACCATCAATAGGGAATTCCTCCCCGATTTGGACATTTGAAGGACAGTTGCCATGACAGTGGCTACTTCTAAAGTAAGCATATGCTTCCCTATTTGCTGCCTCAATTAATGTCAATACTCAACAGAGAATGGAGCACAGTTCTCCACATGATTCCATCTGTCATGGAATCCTCTTTGGTCCTAGCATATGGGTGGGAGACACTTCATTCTAACGGGGCAATTTTAAAAATGCTTTTGAGGTCATCTGGGTTTAGAGAAGAAAACTATGTTTAGCATTTAAAAGCCCTTTAAATTTTACAGACTCAGAAAAATCTTTGTATTTTCTTTCTCTTCCACTTCCATGTTTTATGCACTGCCCAGATCACCTATGGCTAAGGGCTTTTGTGGTATCTCCCAGAAAATTAAAAGAAAACCATAGAAACTTTATTATTGTATTCCAAGGTATTATAACTCTCCTTACTGCACTTGAGGAAATGAAGGTTGTTCTCCTAGTAAAAAGGATCTCATTTAAGAGCAATAGGGAGATAATAAATGTTGACAATAAACTAAGGGCACTCCACAAAGACAAGTCTATGTGCAAATGATGGGCTTTGCAATAGGGATCTGCCAGTAGAGCAGCTGCTACATGTGTGCCATCTGATATTAGAAAAGA